CGCGGCCCCCGTCCCGTCCCTTCGGCCGCCCGGCACCGAGGTCCGGTCCCAGCACCCCCGTGCGGCGGCAGCTGCGGGGCAGCGCGGGGTCGGGCGGGACGGGGCGGGGAGGGGAGGGGCGGCCCCCAGTCCGTCCCGTCGGGCCGCGCCGGGCAGCGCCTCGCCGAGCGGGGCGGCGCGGCGGGCGGTGCTGCGGGCACTAGGACCCCGGTCAGCGCCCGGCGGCGGCCGCGCACCCGCAAGCCGGAGCCCGGAGCCACTTGTGGCGGCGGGGCCATGAGCCGGCGCTTCACCGTCACCGCGCTGCCCCGCGAGGGCCCGGCGGCGGCTCGGGGCGCGTCCCGCGGGGAGGGGGAGAGCCGTCCGCACGGCCGCGATGGTAGAGGTGAGCGCGGCGGCGGCTGCGGGGCACGGCCGGTGGGGAGGGTCGGCGGGGAGGGATCGCGGGGCAGGGCCGGCACAAAGGGGTGCGCGGGGCGGGGTCGTCGGAGCACCCCGATGCAGCGGCTCCGGGCTCGGGGTTCCCGGGAGGCTCAGAGTGGGACTGGAGGGCTGGGGGAGAGGGGTGCGGAGCGCAGAGCTCGGAACGTGGGCAAGGCCTCCCCCAGGGGTGCGCTTCGTGCCCATCTCCATCCAGGGGACAGTGGGACCATTGGGGATGATGCACCGGGCAGCATCGGGGCGTGCGGGTTGGAACGGGGGTGTGCGGCGGGGAGACGTAAAAAATGGGTGGGGGGACATGGGCTGCCTGCCCCTCACCCAGGGGAGGCTCGTGGCGATGGGGCGAGGGGATGCTGTGAGCCCCACAGTGCCGGGCCGTGGGCTGGGCGCTGGTGCTGCGGTCAACCGTCGCCTCGTGGTGCCCAGGGGACCCCACTGAGACTGCGCCGTCACCGCAGCTGTCACCGGAACCGTATCGATCCCAGAAACCCAACCGAGGGCAGCGCGGGGCTGTGACCTTGCGGCCTTGGCAAAGGGCGAATGTGGGTGGGGGCAGGCGGGCAGTGGGATGCCCAAGCCAGGCTGTGCCCTGCGCTGCGCTCCGGCCTCATCCCACAGCTGCTGGTCAAGGACCGCCATCTATCCCGCAGCTCCTGGGCGGACGGGCCCTGAGAGAGAACGCAGCAACGGGCGCTGAACTGGGAGCTGGTGGGCGGGTGGCTGAGGACCGGGTGCAGGGCAGGCAGAGGTGAGAGCGTGCAGGGATGTGGGGGAAGCGTGGGGCTGGGGACCCCCAGAGGCCTCCGCTGAGTCCCAGCAGGGCCGTGACCTTGTGCCCTCGCAGAGGACAGCGCAGCCCAGCGCCGCCAGCAACCGCCTGGGACCGGCCCTGCAGCCCCCAACCCGGGCAGGGCCAGGAGTGCCGAGGCCTGCGGGGGCTGTGGGGGCTGCACCCGGCCGTGCTGCTTCTCCACACCAGGTTGGGGCGGTCTGAGCAGCCCCCCGGCACCGCCGGCCTTCCTGACAACTTGGAGCGGCACGGTGGGGCCTGGGAATCTCAGTATGGGTCTCACGTGGGGTCCCAGCCGGCTGCAGGAAATGCTGCGCGGGGCTACGGGAGCCCACGGGCTGGGAGCCGTTTGGGGAAACTCCCTCTGCCCCCCGCTTTTGCCAGTGAGCCCCGACGGGAAGCGGGGCCGGGCGCTGTGCTCCACGTGGAGGAGTCGGCAGCGCGTGTGGGGCTGCGGGGCGGCAGCGGGGCCGTGCGTCGTCGAGTGGGGCTGCGCGCGGCGGTGGGGTCTCGGGGGGCCATGGGGTGCGGGAGGGGTCGCTCAGCGCAGCGCTCGCTCGCCGCCAGAGGCCGCTGCTGGTTCGGAGAGGCGGGGAGGGGCCGCGATGGGAGGGGGTTGATGGACGTGACGCCGCCCCTCCCGGCCCCGCCCTGCGGCCGTTCCCGAAATAGCCCCGAGCGCGGTCGGGGGCCGGCTCCATCCCCGGGCCCGGTTGCCGTGGCAACTCCGGGATGCGGAGGGCCGGGGGCGATCCTGGGGGGTCCTGGAGCGGCCGCGGCCCACGGCGGGCCGCCCCCTGCAGCGCAGCGCGATGCGGTGCTTTGCGGGGTCCTGCAGCTGCCGGGGCCGTGGCGTTGAGCTGTTGCTATAGGGTCGGCCTCCCCAGGAGGGTACGGTCCTGGGGGGGGGCTCCCTAGGGTCCTTCTCATCGTTGTGCTGGCTCTACGGTCGACCCCCCACCCTGCGGGCTGTGGGGTGGCAGCACGGGGCCAAGTGGGGGCAGGTGGCGGTGTGGGGGGCATCTGGCTTGGGGAGTGAAGGGGCATCCCTGGTGTGAGCCCCCCGGTGTCCTCAGGCAGCCGGGCTCCATGGAAGTCGCTATGGCAACCAACTGGTTAAGGAGCCTCTCTCGTTGCCATGGAAACTGGACCCGATGTCATCTCTTTTCGCTGTTCCATGATGCTTTGGGGATGGTTGTAGCCATTCTCCCAACCCCGCTGTGGGCAGGGGTTGTGGGGTGGCTGTGCTGTGCTGGGGCACCCACAGCCCTTGTGGCATCCTGACTGTGGGGATACCCAGCCACAGACCAGCCATCTGCAGACCTGGGGGGTGCTTGGGTGCAGCTAGGCAGGGACCCCCAGTCCCACAAAGCAGCCTACACAGTTTCCCATCTTTCCCCTCCCTGAGGCACCGGGTTTGGGGAAGACATTGCTATGTGTGAGGAGCAGTTCTGTGCGGAGCCCCTTCTCACTGCCCCAGCACAGAGCCACAGGGAGAGCAAAGACACAGGGCCTGGGGTCTGGGGGAGGTGTTATTAAAACAGCCGAGGGATTATGCTATGTGTGGGGGGCTGCCTGGCCCAGGCAATGCTGGAGTTTGCCGTGGCTCCCATCTCCCCAGCACGCATCGAGGTTGTGGGGCTGAACTGTGCCCATGGGTTGGTGGCCCTGGCAGTCACCTGGCTGTCTCTTTCTGCTCCCATCCAGTCACAGAGCTGGGGCTGTCAGTGGTGTGGCGCTGTGCCGCGGGTCCTGGCAGTGACTGTTGTTGTGCTCTGACACCGGGGTCTCACACAGCTCAGGCTCGGTGCAGGGTGGCTGAGGGCACACGGGGGGTTTGTGAGGTGGCTGTGCCATGCCAGCTTCAGGCTGCCCGCGGGGCCATGTGGCAGCACATTCTTCCCCCTGTCGCTCCCCAGCAGCATGCTGTAAGTGGGACACTGATGCCATGCCTGGCCCAATGCCAGGCGCCTGCGTGCGCTCGGGTGCGGGGGCCACTTGTGGCTGATGGAAGGTCCTGTGCCTGCGGACAGCCACCTGCCGCCCTCCGTCCCCTCTTCCCTGCCTGTGCTTCGTGCTGCAGCCCCTGCTTCTGGGCGCCGACAGCTGCGCCAAGGCCACGGCTCAGTGGAGTGCAGCGTGCAGGGGGCCACGTGTCCCAGCCCCATACGCTGCCCACATCAGACCCCTCTGCTGCAGCTCCCCAGGAGTGGGCTCCCAGCACGCTCCGTGTGCCCTGTGCCTTGCTCCATGCCAGAGGCACCCCGTGCACGAGAGGAGTGAGCGCGGTCGATGCTTCAACCCCCGCATTGCTGGCAAATCCCAGCCCCTGAAATGGAGCCATAATCCAGGGATTAGGGGATTAGTGGTCTTTCACGTGCTCGCCCCCCCTCCCCCATCTGCTTTAGCTGGAAAATCCCTCTTGCGTCGAGCCCACGTTCTGCGGCCTCCTGCGCAAAGCTGCCACCTCAGTGCTTGGCTCTTGCTGTGGTGGGATGGCCCTGCACACCCCCTGGCCACGCAAACATGCTGGAGCTCTGCCCGCTCCATCCCACTGGCCTTGAGCTGCTCCATCGCTGGGCTCAGGGCAGCCCTGCTCAGCTCCCACTTGGTGAATGAAGCACCACTGCTGTGGGTGCTGAGGCTGCGCCCTGCCCATGCTCTCCAGGGGTGCCCCCATGCTGCGGGGCTCCCTGGGGCTTTGCAGTGCTGCGATGTGCCCCACTGTGCTGGGCACTGATGGCTGTGGCTATACTGAGCCCCATCTCCCTGGGGTCCTGGCCCCACAGCGGGGCAGGGCTGGGGAAGGGCGGCGGAGCCAACCCCTGCAAGGTGAGGGCTGGGAGCATCCGCGCTGCAGAGCAGCTGGCTCCATACCAGGAGAAAGTAAACAATTAATTACAGCCGTCAAGAAGTAACTAACGCCAGCGGGCTGTCATGATCTCAACTCGCTCCTGAGGAGATGCCGGGAGCTGCAGCCAGCTCTGGTTCTAGGATCCTCCCTCACTGAGCAAGTGAGAAGAGAAGGGGCTGTGGGATGACCTCTGGGATCAGCGCAGCATCCCTGTCAAAGCCCTGCCCAAACTGTGCCAAGAACCGTCGCCCACCCGGATCCCATGCTGGCCCTGGGTCAGCACAGCCACGGCCCTTCAGGGCAGCCCTCTGCTCCGTGTCCGCAGTGCTGCGTGCCCAAGGGAGGGAGCTCCATGTGGGGATGTTCCTGGAGGAGGGGGCACCCCTGGGGCCCTTGCGGTCTCATCAGGTGTGCTCACTCCCAGCCTATGCCCCCGAGGGGCAGCTTTCCCCAGTCTGCATTGCTTGCTGCAGCTTTGGCCAGTGCTCGCCTCACTCCTGGTGGCCCAGCTGTGCCCAGCTTGCCAGGGTTCACCCAGATGGTGGCACCGCTGCAGGCATAGCAGGACAGCTGCAGGCTGGTGGTGGTGTTGGGCTGGAAGTCACAACCCTGGGTTGGTGTTCTGGCTTTGGGGGGGGGCTGCCTGAACTGAGTCCTTGCCGAGCCCCCCGCTTCCCACCGGTTTGGGGGCTGCTGTGGCAGGGGCTGCCCCGACCCCTCGCCGTGTCCCCTGGGCAGGTGTTGGTCCTGCTGGTGCGGGGCTCTGTCTCGCTCCTGGCAGGGGAGTGTCGGGTCCCCGGGCAGAGCCCGGGCTGCGGAAGGGACGCGGTGCTGCGCCAGTTGGGGGGGGGCACCTGCAGCCACTCGAGTGCCCTAATTCCTCCCCCAGCCCTGGCTGAGCGCGGGGAGGCGGCGGACGGCTCTGCTACAGCTCCTTCCCCCTCCCTCGCCTATGCCTGCCACCGCTCCCCTCCCCAAAAACCCGACAGGGGATAATGCCTCCTGAATACATGATGAAGTGAGTAGTCAGGCTGGGCTCCGCCGCTGCTGCTGGGAGTGAGTGAGCGTGTGAGTCTGTGCATTGAGGCATCTCTGCACTGCAGCCTCCTCCTACATCCAGCCAGAGAGGCAGAGAAAGGCGCGGAGGGAAGGCGGCTTGTTGCAGTGCGAGGCACTGGCCCCTGGGAAGAAGCAAATCCCTGGCAGCCGCCCTAGGCGCCACCGGAGCAGCCCCGAGCGAGGCGGCGGGCAGCGGCCATGCTGAATAACCTGACGGACTGCGAGGACGGCGACGGGGGGGCGAGCCAAGGTAAGGGGCAGCCCGAGGGCGTCGGGGAGCGGGGGCCGGGGGCTGCGGGGCCGCAGCCGAGGGGACGCGGGCAGAGCCGGGAGCTGCGCGGGGCCGCAGAGGCTCGGGGAGGTGGGCTCCGGCTGCGACGGCGACTGCTGCTGGGCGGCCACGCGACGCCGCGGTGCGGGTCCGGGCGCTGCCCGCGCCGGGCCCCGCGGGGCTGCGGCTGTGCGGGCGGTGCGGGCGGTCCCGCTCCCGCTGCCGGTGGCGGCTGCGGCTTCCCGCTGTGGCGCCCCCGCGCCGAGCCGCCCCCGCCGCCCGCCCGCCCGGCCCCGCGCCCGCAGCTGCCGCAGTCCCGGGAAGCGGCCGGGCAGGACCGGGCTCCCCGCGGAGTCTCCCCCCCCGGGGCCGGGGCTGCGCTCCGGTCTCCGTCCCTTCCCGGACGGCCCTCGGCGGCGCTGCCCCAACCCGCTCGGGCCGTGCCGCCGCAGAGACCTCTGCGACGGCCCAATCCCGGCTGCCGCCCCCGGCGTTCCCCACCCGCTGCCGCCCCGCACCCTCACCTGCCTCCCCCCGACCCTCCCCAGCCGCCCCCGGCCCTCCTCGCTTCCCGCACCCCCGGCTGCCGCTTTCGGTCCCGCTCCTCATTTTCACCCCCGCCCCCCGCGCTCCCCGCAGCCCTGGCCCGGCGCTGCCGCTGTCCGCGGTGCTGAAGCCGTGCGCACTGCAGCCTCCGGGGTCGCCGCGGAGAGGGGCCGGGGCTGCAGCCCCCGGGGGGCGCCAGGGCCCCCGGGCCGCAGCGTTCGCTGTCTAAGCGGAGCCCTGGGCCACCCGTGTTCTCCGATACCCGGCAAAGCCGAGCTGCACGGGTGCAGTACCCGGCTTTCCGGCAGCAGGGCGAATGCAGCATCCTCCTTCACGGGTGTTGCTGGTAGCACGGGAACGGGCCAGGAGAATGCGGGCGTGTGCGCGCGGGGCCCTGCAGTATCGCTCTGACTGCCCCCACTACCTCCGGGTCCTCTCAAGGGGTCTGTCGAAAGCCCTGAACAAGAGGGCATCGAGGGGGGCAGCTGAGCTGACAGTTGCAGTGTGAGCTCCCGGCTGCCTGCAGCGGGGCTCTGGGCATTGCCACACACAACGCTTTTGGTATGTGCTCCACAGCCTGACCCTTGTTTATCTGCTTGTTTATCCACGGCTGCACTCAAGATCAGGGCTGGCAGGAGTTTTCGGGGTCACCTTGCCTAGCCAGGTGGAGCTGCGCTGCCCCATTGGCCAAACCCTTCCCTGCCTCTGACCCTTTGCCCTATGCAGCAGCAGGGGCTGTGTTGTTCATTGCGTCTCCATTGTAGCAATGCTGGGCTGCATGGAGGCAGGTGTGTCTGCCTTCTTGCTCACAGGGTGCATTTCTGGGGTCTGGCTGTGAGGTTGGACGTGGTGCTGCTACAGATGGGCCACACAAACTGTCCCTGGAGCTGAGCCAAGCTAGGTGGTTCTTGTGGGGCTGCGGATGCGGGGCTGGAGGAGGTGTGTGGCTCTGTGGGGCTGGAGAGCAGAGGAGGGTGCAGGGGAGAGGCACTGCAGGGCCCTCACCCCCCGCACCTGTAATAGGGATGGTGGGGGTGGAGGACTCTGGCGGTTGCTGCGGGGGCTGTGCTTCTCCTGCGCCTTGCCAGGGGCCCCGCAGCATTCCCTGCCCAGGTCTGTCTAGGGATGGTGATGTCCCATCTCAGGGTGGCAGAGCTGATGCTTGCCAGCAGGGACACCTCCGGTTCTTTCAGGTGCCGTGGTGACTGCTGAGACAAGCAGACAAGGCGCTGCAGAAGCCCTGGTCCTCCACTTTTGCCATTTGTGTCCCAAGGCCAGACAGCAGCCCCTCTGCAGGTGCCTGTTCTGGGCAGCCTGAGAGAGCACATTGGTGACAAGGGCTGGATGGCATCCAGCGCTGACAGCCCAGCGAGTGCAGGGCCAGGAGCAGCCCTGGGGAGGGGACAGGAGCAGGGCAGCAAGCAGGGCTGCAGCGTGACATAGGGCTGACTGTGTGCATCACTCTGCTTTGGGCATGGGTATGTCAGATGCAGCCCTGCTGCAGGTGCCTCTGCTCTGGGCTGCAGGCCCCTGGATGTCCAAGAAGAGGAGAATTGGGATGGGGAGCTTGGCTATAGCATCGTTGTGTGGCCATTCCCATGGCAGGGCTCAGGCTATGGGAGAATCTGGGAAGCTGTTTAAATGCAGCCAGCCAAAACGCCTGTGCTGGAAATCCTGAGCCTGCAGGGCCGGCTGATCAAAGAGAGGATAATCCTGGGTTTAGGAAGGAAGAGGATAGGTCTGAAGTAGCAGTTGGTCTAATTTGGGTCAGGCAGTGAAAGAATCCACCCCAAACGGCCGCTCGGCGCGCTGGCCAGCTGCAGGGGCAGTGTCACCAGGGCAGGGGGGGGGTGGGCACTGCATCCCTCCTGTGCTGCAGCGATCCTGGCACTGCGGGACCTTGCAGCACCCCAGGGCTGCGGGTCAGAGCCAGGACCAGTGCATGCATGGCCGAGTGCCCTGGATGGCCAGAGGGGGACAGAACAGCGCTGTGGCCGCCCCCGGGCAGGAGCTCCTGCGACATGGCAGCAGCTGGGGCCATCAGCTGCAGGACACGTGCTTGCCCATGTGCTTGCCGGCCCACAGGGATGAACAGAAGTGCTGGCATGACCTGGGGGCTGCTCCTTGCAGACAGCCCTGGGCAGAGTCCCAGGGAGCTGGAGCAGGCTGCTGCCAGCCAGTGCCAGCGAACTCTCTGGCAAAAGTCAAGGTGCCCTGTGCTCCTGGGGAGGAGCTCCAGCACAGCCCCACGGCCCGGGCAGCATGCGCAAAGCGGGCAGGCATCACCCCCTGCTCTTGGGGCTGGGGGCTGTGACAGTGCAGGGCTGGAAGTGTCTCCTGCAGGCATAGGTCCCAGTGACACTGTCTGGCTCCAAAGCAGGGGTAGGGGAAGTGCAGTGCCAACCCTGCAGAGGGGCAGTGCAGGAGGAGAAGCCAGCTGGAGCTGGGCTGGGGGCAGCATCCAGCTGGGCCCTGTGGTGCCGCTTACTGCAGTAGCACAAACCCAGGGGCAAGTGGTGGCATGGGGCTGGGACTGCCCCTTCGGCATCCCCCTCTTGCCTGCTGCTTCTTCCTATCCAGGGGCTGCAGCCCCCACCCCAGGGCTGGACCTGCTGGCAGGGTGCCACAGGGGGACAGGCTGGCTGCAGCCCTGACAGCAGCTCTGCTAAATTAGCCCTCAGGGTTTGGCTGCCTGCCCCCCCCACCCCCCCCTTGCTCCCACCCCTTGTTAGTGCTCAGTCCCTGCGCTGTGTAAAACGATTAGGGAGGATTTGGGATAAGGGACATGATGCTTCCCGACACAACTGAGAGCTGAATAAGAAGCCGTGAGAAGATCACATCATGGTGGGTGCCGCAGCCCTGCCTGGAGCTGCCCCGTGGGATGGCTGCAGGCGTGCAGGGACGGTCCCACAGCTCCGGGTCCCCAGCAGGGCGTGGGCTGGGTGCTGGGGTGTCCCCAACACGCAGGGCAGGCGGTAAGCCCTGCCGCGAGCAGCATTACGTGGTCGCCACGCCGGGGCCGTGGTTCCCTGCCAGCAACCCAGCCGCGAGCCCTTCCAGCCGCCGCAGCAAATTAAAAGGCCGATTCACGTTGAGTGATCCCTGGGGAGGGGGGCGGCTCGGCGCCGGGATCGAAGCCTGGCACGGCTCGGCTCTGCTCCGCTGCTGCGTGGCCCTGGGCAGTGCTGGGGTGATGGGGGCCGCGTCGGGCCCATGGGCTTCAGGGTCACCTGGCAGCCCGCAGTGTCCAGGAGGTGCCACGCTCCGTGCCTCGGGCAGGGTCGGGCTGCGGTGGTTGGTGCTGGGTACGGGGCGGCTCTGCCCAGGACGGGCTGCTGTGCCCCTGCTTGGCTCTGCACAGACCACAAATCCTCTGACAGCTGCCTGGAAGAGGCTGCACCAGCCCCTCTGCGGCAAAATGGTCTCCGGCAGGAGCGGGGAGCATAGCTGTCACCTGGGACCCCGCAGCTGTGGCACTTAACTCCTTCCAGACTGCAGAGAAAGGGAGGGGGGCCTGGGCTGTGTCCTGGGGACAGCAAAGCTGAGCATCCCTGTGCTCCCCACTTCCCTTGGCCACTCTGGGCCTCTCCCTGTGTTTGTAGTGCTGGTTGAGGGACTCCTGGCAGCCAGAATGCAGCCAGCGTGGGGCCCCCGTGATGCTGTGGGGTCCAGCTGTGGACTGCCCACAATGGGGGCACTGGGCTGTATGGGGCAGCAGGAGCTTGAACCTCAGAGCCTGGGCTCAGGGCTCTGCTCTGGTGTTGTCATTGCACTGGGATGGGGCTGAAGGGTGGGAGGGGCAACCAGCGAGGTCTTGGGGTGCAGAGTCTTGGTGCTGGCAGGTCGGGGCAGCAGGGCAGTGCGGGTGCCCCGTGGTGCAGCTGTGCTCCACCACCACGAGCCGGGCAATGTTGGCCCCATGGGGCTGTGGCGGTGTGGGGTCACAGGGCCTGGCTGTGTGCCTGCAGGATGCTGGCGGGCTGCGGCGTGGTGCCGGGGTGCCGTGTGGTGCCATGAGGTGCCGTGCGGTGCCGTGGGGTCCGGCGCCTGTCCGGCTGTGCTGTTACATAAGAGCGGGAGCAGAGGCAGCCGTGGCTCGCTGTTACCATAGAAACCAGCGTGGTGATGTCGTCGACCGGGTACCAGGCGGTGAGGCGAGGCCCCGCGGCTCTGCTCACACTGTGGGGGTCCTGAGGGCCCTCTGGGCTGCCCACTCTCACCCCGGTGCCCCCGTGTGTCCCCTTGTGTCCCTCCGCATGTCCCCCATGTGTCCCCGTGCAGTGGGGCTGTGTGCACCCTGGAGAGGAGAGCATGGAAAACCCCAGCCCCCAACCACCACGGGCCCATTCTGAGGTTGGGGTCCCATGGCCGGCAGAGGTGTCCCTGTTTGCATTTTGTTTATAGCATTTCCATGCTCCCCGGGGCCCAGGCTGTGGTTTGAGGTGGTGGGAGCCGGGAGGGTGTCCGCCTGTGCACGAGGCTCTTATGTAATGTTCACTTTGCACAATGCTTTTGGCAGGACTAGCTGGGCAGGAGCACTGCCCCGCACTGACAGCCCCTTGAGCAGTGCCTGGGCAGTGGGTGGGGGCTGCACTCTGTGGTGTGACACCAGGCAGACCGCATCTCCTGCCCTTCTGTTGGCTGTGTGTGGGGGGGGGCAGTGGGAGCATGTGGGTCAGCATCACTGTGGTGTTGGGGGTTTTGCCCCCCAGTCAGCCAGGAGGGGCTGCAGGTGGTGAATCACGGCCGCATGCAGGAGAACTTGCTCCGCCGAACCCAAAAATGAGTCAACTGTTGGGAGGCAGACAGCCTTCAAAGCAACGCTGTGCTGGGTTTGTCCCGGGCTGCTGCTGCCATGGGGGTGGCAGCCCATGCACCGCCCCACAGCTCCGGGCCTTCCTGGGCTCTGTGTTCAGTGCCAGCAGAGAGCACAACTCCTGTGGGCACAGAGCAGCTCTGGGATGCTCCATGCACAGAGCTTGCCCGGCCCTGCTGCTGTCCTGCCCTGGTTCCTGTGCAGCATGGGTGCACTCACACCATGCGCTGCTCTGTTTGGTTCATGGGCATTTCCTGGCCCCACACGCTGCCCACCCAGCCCAGCCTCTCCCTTCACTGTTCGGTGGCTCTGCCTCGGTGCTGAGAAATGCGCCACTCAAATGGCATCCATGCTAGCTGCCGCTTTATTTCCAGCCTGATTTATTTCTGCTGCTCTGCAGCTCTCTGCTGCTTTCTTTGCTATTAAGCTCGACTCTGGGCGTCTTCTGCGCGAGGTCATTATGCAGCACGGCAGCCCCATCCAGGCTCTGCAGGCTTTGGGTTGTGCTGTGGGACAGCTCGCAGTGCCGGCTTTTAACCCCCCTGTGGGCTGCATCGGGGATCAGTGCTGTGAGGTGCTGTGGGATGCCGGGTTGCCCGGTTCCCCCTGGATCCACACCAGTCACTCTGCCTGGTGCTGGCACTGCGGATGCACTCTGGTGAGCCCAGATGGTCAGTGCTGTGCTGCTCTGAGAGGGGGGTGGCTCCTCTGGGGACTGTGAAGGGATGGGCGACACCAGTTCACCCCCCCATCCTATCCTGCAGGCGATGGCAATCCCAAGGAGAGCAGTCCCTTCATCAACAGCACAGACCTGGAGAAGGGAAAAGAGTACGATGGCAAGAACATGGCCCTCTTCGAGGTAGGGCATGCAGGCGGCTGGGCCAGGGCCGTATGGGACCTGGGGAGGGGGCCATGGGGACAGGGACACTGCAGAGCCCATGCAGGATCTCCCACTGCAGGGCCAGCAGTGGTCACGGGCCAGGGGCGTGCAGCCTGCAGAATACAGCACAGCACAGCGGTTGTTCTGCTGTGAGCAGCGCAGTGCCGTGCTCCGGGTGCCGGGCAGGGCTGGTGTGGGACCTCAGCTCTCGGGTGCTGCTCTTTGCAGGAGGAGATGGACACCAGCCCGATGGTCTCATCACTGCTGAGCGGGTTGGCCAACTACACCAACCTGCCGCAGGGCAGCCGGGAGCATGAGGAAGCTGAGAACAATGATGGGGGCAAGAAGAAGCCAGTGCAGGTGAGAGGTTGCGGGGCAGTCACTGCTCCTTCCTCCCATCCCCTTCAGCCCAAGCTGTGCCCTGTCTCAGGGCACCAGGTACCTGCAGGCACTGCTGCCCTGATGTCCCTCTCTGCTCCAGTCCCCATGAGGGCTGTACAGCAGTGGGACCACTGTCCCCCTGCCTGCTCTCACCTGACTGCAAAGTGTGCAGGGTGTTCATGGCCGAGCCGCCCCGTCCCTCTGGCCAGCAGCAGTGTGTGCAAATGAGAGATGCACACTGAGTTCTGATGGCTCTTTGCTTCCTCCACAGGCTCCACGGATGGGCACCTTCATGGGCGTCTACCTGCCCTGCCTGCAGAACATCTTTGGGGTCATCCTGTTCCTGCGCCTCACCTGGGTGGTGGGGATCGCTGGCATCATGGAATCTTTCTGCATGGTCTTCCTTTGCTGCTCCTGTGTGAGTGTCTCCAACCCCCACCCCTCAGCCTCATCCTGGGGGCTCCTCCTGGGCCAGGAGTGTCTGCCCCCCTGCATGCTGTGCTTTGTGCCCTGTGCCAACACTCACTGCTGCTCAGCAAGCTCAGGTGCTCCTGCTCCACTTAGCAAGGAGAAACCACCCAGCTTCCCGGAGGAACTGGCAGTGGAGCAGTGTTCAAACCGTGACCCAGATTGCACCTGGGTGTGTGTGGGATGTGGTGTTGGTGCCCGCTGCCTGAGACCCCCGTGCCTGGGAGCCGGCTGCCCTGCTGGGTCATTGCCCTGCAGCATGGGTAGGAGGGATGTGGGTGGGCAGAAACCCCATTGCCCGTGTACCTCTGAGCCGCTCAGCCCCCACAGACAGCATCGCAGTGTCCCAGCCCAGTGCCATGTCCCAGTCTTCCTGTCCCAACCCTGTGACAAGCCCTGGTGCTGCCCCCTGGCCTCTGCTCTCTGGTCCCTCTCCTGTCCTGTGCTTGAGCTGGGATGAGACTCTGCCCGATGCTGACACTGTGTTTCCTCCTGCAGACGATGCTGACAGCTATTTCCATGAGTGCAATTGCCACCAACGGCGTGGTGCCAGGTAGACCCGAAGCTGTGCCTGTGTGTACTTGGGGCATGGGGAGCTGGCTCCTTGGGGGTGGGCTCCTGCCAGGTTTTGTGCCCCAAATGTGCTGTGCCAGACCCTGGGCTGCCCCGTGCCGTGCAGGGGATGGCAGCTGTCACTGCCAGCCGTGTCCCGGCCCTCTGCCACCAGCCCTGAGAGGGTTCTCCGGGGGTGAGCACGGAGCTGGAGCCTCCACCCCGTCCCCAGAGCTGTGAGGTGCAGATGGCAGCGGGAGCCGTCAGACACAGCTCCTCCTGCCAGACTGGGGCGGCCGCGGGGGATCCGCTTCCCCGAACAGAGCCGGGCGAGGAGCAGGGGGAGGATGGGTGCCGGGCTGCGGGAGCCTGCTGCTGGGGGCTGAGCACTGCGGTGCCCGGGGCTGCCCCCTGAGCATCTGTTCAGCTCCACAGAGCCGGAGCGGTGCCTTCCCCGCCGCTCCCGGGGCTCAGCACAGTGCTGGCAACCCGGCGCAGGGTGTAATTAATGCTATTTATCATCCTGCCGCCGGCCGCAGGGCCATCGATCGCTGCCGCCTGTCTCTAAGGGCTCCTCTGGGAGGAAGGAGCAGGGCATGGCCCGTGTCCCTGGGGCTGCAGTGCCTGTGTGGCTTCGCAGGGGACAGGTGTCCCTGTGGCCGTCATGCCCAGCTGCCCGGCTCCTGGGAGCAGCTCTGCCAGCTCAGCTGTGTGAGGCTTGGGATGGCTGAGCTGCTGCCGGCTGGAGCAGGGTGCTGGGGGTCCTGACCCCATTCGGGGCACTGGGAGGAGCTGGGGTGCCTGCTGGGGGCCGTCTGGAACCAACCTTCGCTCTCTCCAACAGCGGGCGGCTCCTACTACATGATCTCACGCTCCCTGGGCCCTGAGTTTGGTGGGGCTGTGGGGCTCTGCTTCTACCTGGGCACCACCTTTGCCGGTGCCATGTACATCCTGGGCACCATCGAGATCTTGCTGGTGAGTGCTTTGCCCACGTGGTGCTGAGGGCTTGTGTCGTGGCCTGGCAGCTCTGCCCTGGCCTTCAGGGGGGGCACGGATGTGTGGCGGGGACCAGGAGCGCTGCCTTCAGCGAGCAGTGACTGCACATCTTTCCTCCAGGCCTACATCTTCCCCGCCATGGCCATCTTCAAGGCAGAGGATGCCAGCGGGGAGGCGGCTGCGATGCTCAACAACATGCGCGTCTATGGCACCTGCGTCCTGACCTGCATGGCTACCGTGGTGTTCGTGGGGGTCAAATATGTCAATAAGTTTGCCCTGGTCTTCCTGGGCTGCGTCATCCTCTCCATCCTCGCCATCTACGCCGGTGTCATCAAGTCGGCCTTCGACCCACCGAGCTTCCCGTGAGTACGGCGTGCCATGGGATGGGGGCTGGGCTGAGGATGTGCTGCTGATGTCTGTACCCCCCTGCCAGGATCTGCCTGCTGGGCAACAGGACCCTCTCACGGCACGGCTTTGACCTCTGCACCAAGGTGGTGGTGGAGGGCAACGAAACAGTGGGCTCCAAGCTCTGGGAGCTCTTCTGCACCTCCCGCTTCCTCAACGCCACCTGTGATGAGTATTTCACCATGAACAACGTGACTGAGATTGAGGGCATCCCTGGAGCTGCCAGCGGCCTCATCCAAGGTGGGTGTCTGACGGGGATGGAGGCATGGTGGCTCTGCTGGGCTGGCAGAGGGTTGGTGTGCAGACAGCTGCATGGAGCAGAAAGCCAGTCCTGATATAGCACTGACGAGGAGCGTGGTGAGCCCTGCCTGGGGCTGCTCTGCCCTCGGGTGCACCAGGCAGCAGGAATAGCTGCACTGCAGGACTCGGTCGGTGCTGTGGCCATGTGAGCCACAGCTGGTGCAAGCCCGACAGCTCTGAGTGATGCTCAAAGGCTGGGGAGGAATAAATCCTCCCTTTGTTTCCTCTCAGCCATTGGAAGGCAGGATATTGATCTGAGGTTTAGCGTGGAGTAATCGCCCCTTGGGGGTACTGTGCTGCTGCTACTGCTGGAGCACAGGCACTGGAGCAGGAGCTGCTCTGCAGCCAGGCTGGGAGGGCAGCCAGGGCACAGAGCACCTCGGCAGCATGGGGAGAAGCTGCTGCTGACCTGCTTTCTGGAGCTGCTGGTGCGTTTCCCAGGTGCTCACATTCCTTGGCTGAGTGCTGGAGGTCAGTGCTCTGTGCCACATTTGGGGTGTTGGTGCTCAAGGCTACAGCTCTTGCGGCTGCAGCTGCCAGGCCTAGGGACCAAGGGAACACAGCGGTTGTCCTGGATGCTTGGGGGCTGCTGGAGGCTTTCTGTGCTGCAGGGGCAGGGCAGGGGCAGGCTGCAGCCGGTCTCCAGCTCTGTCTGTGTGCAATGTGCCTTTCAATGTGCAGGACGGGCTGCAGTGACAGTGGGGGCTGCCAGCCTCAGCTGTCACCTGGGGATGTCTGGGGGACGCAGGCAAGGAGCACAGCATAGGGTGGCAGCCCCGGTGTGATGCTGTGGTGATGCTGCCTGCCCCTGCCCAACAGTGCTGGCTGCTTTCTGCTGCTCCAGTTTCTCGCTGCAATCTGTGACCAAGGCAGCACGCACAGGGACGTTAAGCCTGTTACATCAGCCCCATGCTTATAATCCCATCAAAAACATTATCAAGTTACTTTGACACGATCCACTTTCCTTAAACCTGTGTTGATCAGTATTAATTATATTACCCTCTTAATTATTTGCTCCGGGAATCCCACGTCAGCTGCTCCAGTATCTTACAGGGACAATGCCAGCAGTGGGACACACCTGCTCTGGTCACCCACCCACCCCTGAGGCCTGCATGTTTCTGAGGTCCATCAGGGGCTGGGGCTGCTCACCCTCTGGATGCCAGCAGCGCTGTGGCTGCGTGGCACAGTGGGGATGGGATGATGCCAGGCACCTCTGTGGCGCAGGGCTCAAGGAGGCGGCTGTGGGTGCAGCCTGTGCTCCGGACACATCCTCACAGCAGCCGTGCCTCTTCACAGAGAACCTCTGGAGCTCCTACCTGACCAAGGGTGTGATCGTGGAGAAGAGGGGGCTGCCCTCTGTCAGCCCCCCGGACACCCCTGTGGACATGGACCAGCCTTACGTCTTCAGTGACATGACCTCCTACTTCACGCTGCTCGTGGGCATCTACTTCCCCTCTGTCACAGGTGGGTGCTGCCTCTCACACGTGCCGCTGTGCCTCTCCCACGGAGCCCACGTGCGCTGCCGCCGGCCCGGCGCTGTGCGGAGGTGGATCACAGCCCGTCCTCCCACACAGCTCCGGTGCCTCGCTGTGTGCTGACGTGCCGCGGCGCCGGTATTTATAGCTCCCCGGGGAGGAGGAGCCCTCCCCTGCCCCAGTCCCGCTGCGGAGCCCTGTGGGACCCCCGTGGGATGCGGGAGCTCAGCGGGAGCCCTGCAGGCTGGTCCCATCTCGGCACTCGCTGCTGGGTCCGGTGGTGCTGGATTTGGGGCTGATGGACCTGCGGGTGCGCCCCTGTGCCCTCTATGTGCTGCCCCTTGTACCCTCCTGCCTGGCACTTGCTGACGGCATGGTGTGATGGTGCATGGATTTGTGTCGTGTCAGTAATGTAGGCTGAGCCACAGGTAGCTGCGTCCCCGCTGCGGGACCTGCTGTGCACACAGCAGCTGAGCTCACGGGGATGCGTGGCAGGGCTGTGCCGGATCCACGGCACCAGAGGATCAGAGCATGAAGGTCAGAAAAGACCATGTCTTGTCTCAGCCATGACCAGACCCTGCAGCCACTGCCACCTTGCTAGAGTTCATTAAGGGCTGATTAAACAAGTCAGACAGTGGGTTTTGTATGTAATCCTATAGTAGCCTCAGCTACTCAGTAGGTCAGGTGGGAAAGTGCTGATGGGATGTGAGGTGGGCGGGGGTCCCTGTGCCTGTCTGGGTCCTGGCACAGCCGAGCTTGATCAGTCCTAGCAGCAGGGTTGTGGCTCTGCCACCACATTATGGCCCTCTGTCCCCAGGCATCATGGCTGGCTCCAATCGCTCTGGGGACCTGCGGGATGCACAGAAGTCCATCCCCACAGGCACCATCCTGGCCATTGCCACCACCTCTGCAGTCTGTATCCTTCAGGGCTCGGTCGGGTGGTTGGGTGAGGATGGGCAGGTGGGCCGGCAGGGCAGGAAGAGGTCTGCTGGGGTCTGGTGGGACAGATGGGTTCCAGCGCTGGGCAGGGCGGTGTGGGGCTCTGCACCTTGCAGGCTGTCCTTGACCGCCCCACAGACATCAGCTCCGTCGTGCTCTTTGGGGCATGCATCGAGGGCGTTGTTCTGCGTGACAAGTGAGTGCCACTGGGCTGTGTGGGGCAGGTGTGGGGCAAGCTGGGCTGTGGGAAGGGCTGGGGACAGAGACAGCTGTGGGGAACGCAGCAGGATGCTGCAGCTGGAACCACTGGAGTAACATGGTGGTGTTCTGGGTCTGGTGGGGATGGCGTGCCCACAGGGAGGATGCCTGGCTGTGCACCAGGGCAGATGCAGAGCTCACAACAGGCTCTGGGGGCTCGTCGGTGCCCCTTCCCCCCACTGCTGGTCCCTGCGGCTCGGGCTGTGCGCAGCTCTTGTTTGTCAACAGGCAGCGCCGCGTATGTAGGGCAGCCCAGCTCGCTGCGTGGCAGTGACACTTCTGGGTCGCCAGCACCAACACAAACTGGATCCGAGCCACACGCGGCCTTCATTGGCCCACTCCTGTCAGAGGGGATGGGAAGCCCCTGCCCCACGTCCCCCCGCTCCCCAGGCCATACAGATTAGGGCCGGGCTGGCCGCGTGCTGCCCGTGGCCGTGGGTGATACCCGTGCCCTACAGGTTTGGTGAAGCCGTCAATGGGAACCTGGTGGTGGGCACCCTGGCGTGGCCGTCCCCGTGGGTCATCGTTATCGGCTCCTTCTTCTCCACATGCGGGGCCGGGCTGCAGAGCCTCACCGGCGCCCCGCGCCTCCTGCAAGCCATCTCCAGGGACGGGATCGTGCCCTTCCTCAGGGTGAGCGCAGCCCTCGCAGTGCCCCCGGCAGCCATGGGGCGGGCCGCCTGACCCCCACCCTATGGGGCGGGCACCGGGGCTGCGATGGGTTCGTCCGCGACCTGTCGGTGGGAGGAGAGTGTCGGGAAAGGTCAGGATCCCCCTCCCCCAGCTTCTGCCGCTTAATGTTTTATCTGCTCTCCGAAGACGCGTTCTCACAACTGCGTCTCTCCAAATCCGAACCGACAGCTCCCCCCGGGGAAGAGCAGGCTAATTTTAACCGCGCGCCTCCGCCCTGCCAGCCACATTCCGAGCGCTCGCACGAGGACCGCAGCCTGCGCCCTGCCATGCTCCCGGACACGCGGCCCCCACCCCGCGCCCGGACCCTGCCCCTGGATACCCCTGGGAGACGGGGGTCTGTGTGCCAAAGCGGCCAGGCTGGGGGGCTCTGATGGCTGCTCCCCAGCACCGTGGCTGTGAATGCAGCAGCTGGGCTGTGTTTGCCCCCAACTCCAGGCACGGGGCCAATCGGCAGTGTGAAGCGCATGGAGCTGCTGCCGCGTCCTTAACGCCCCTCTCCTCCCCCACCCCAGGTCTTTGGCCATGGCAAAGCCAACGGGGAGCCCACCTGGGCTCTGCTGCTCACCGCCTGCATCTGCGAGATTGGGATCCTGATCGCATCCCTGGACGAGGTGGCTCCCATCCTGTCCATGTAGGCAGCACCTTCGGTGTGGCGGTGGCCGGGCGGGTGCCTCTGGGGGGTTGGAGCCTCACATTGCTCCGCATGGGGCCGTGCCGTGTCACGCTCATGGCGCCATGCTCAGCTGCTCCCCTCTGCAGGTTCTTCCTCATGTGCTACATGTTTGTCAACCTGGCCTGTGCCGTGCAGACGCTGCTGCGGACGCCCAACTGGCGGCCCCGATTCCGCTACTACCACTGGTGAGCAGTGGGCAGTGCAGGGCCTGGGGCTGCAGGGCTGCAGGGTGCTGATGTGGTGCCTTGCGCAGGACCCTCTCCTTCCTGGGTATGAGCCTGTGCCTGGCACTGATGTTCATCTGCTCCTGGTACTACGCGCTGGTCGCCATGCTGATCGCTGGCCTCATCTACAAGTACATCGAATACCGCGGGTAAGGGCCCGGCGGGGGCTGCAGGGCTGGGGGTCCCCACATCGCCTTGGTGCTGTAGGTGCCGGGGGCCCACGGCCGCGCTCTGTCACCGGGGCTCCCAGCGGCCGGAGCCGTGGACATCCTGTGATGCTCTGCTGTGTGCCGCAGGGCGGAGAAGGAATGGGGTGATGGGATCCGGGGGCTGTCGCTGAGTGCCGCCCGCTACGCACTGCTGCGGCTGGAGGAGGGCCCCCCCCACACCAAGAACTGGAGGTGAGGCCGCGGGTTGGGGGGAGCGGGAGCCATCAGGGCGGCGGGCGCTGACTGCAGGACCTTCCTTTCAGGCCCCAGCTGCTGGTTCTGGTCCGTGTGGATCAGGAGCAGAACGTGGTGCACCCACAGCTCCTGTCCTTCACTTCACAGCTCAAAGCAGGCAAGGGCCTCACCATTGTGGCCTCTGTGCTGGAAGGGACCTTCCTGGACAACCACCCACAGGCGCAGAGAGCCGAGGAGGTGAGAGCTTCCCATGCCCTCCCAGCTGCTGTGCCCCAGGGTGCATCCAGCCCTGCTGCGGGGCTGCTGGGAGCACTGCACAGCGCGGGCAGTGGGACCTGCGGGACCCCCACTCCCCTCCCCAGAGCACCAGGGATGCCAGGTACCAGCAGGGCACGGGCCTGGCTCCTGGCTGGTGCTGCACAGCACAGCACTGTGCCAGCAAGGGGCCGCAGTGCTGCCAGGCTGTGCAGCCCCTCTGCTGAGCACCCCACACTCCTCACAGCCCCCACAGTGCAGGCAAGGGAAGGTGAAGCAGGAACCTTCCCAACTGGAGCGAGATTCCCCTCGCACTTCGCGCCAGCCAGGCGGCACGTTAATGAGATTAAGCCCTCAGAAGCAAACAGTTTCTCTCCCATGCAGACATGTTATAATTTCTCTGAGTAAATAACTCTAATTGCTGCTCTGCCGCCCGTCAGAGCCCTGGCACGGGGACTCCCTCTGCTCGGCACGGCACAGAGCCATGCGCCGGTGCTGCTCACAGCCGGGCCTCCCCCGTCCCCATCCCACGCTGCCATCCTGCTGCAGGGCTCTGCACCCCACGATCCACACCCCACAGGCTCTGCTCCCTGCACCCCACCCATCTGCTGGCTGCCCTGGCTCGTTGGGTGCTGTCTGCAGCGGGTGCTGTGCGGGGCCACATCCCATGCACGGTCCCTGATGCCTTCTCTCCCGCTGCCAGTCCATCCGCCGCCTGATGGAAGCGGAGAAGGTGAAGGGCTTCTGCCAGGTGGTGATCTCCTCCAACCTGCGGGACGGCATGTCACACCTCATCCAGTCCAGTGGGCTGGGCGGGCTGCAGCACAACACGGTGCTGGTGGGCTGGCCCCGCAGCTGGCGCCAGAAGGAGGACCACCAGACCTGGAGGAACTTCATCGGTAGGGCTTTGCAAGCTGGATGGGTGCCACAGGGTGCTGACGTGAGCGGTGCTGGCTGACGCGGCCCTTTCCCTCCAGAGCTGGTGCGGGAGACCACGGCTGGGCACCTGGCCTTGCTGGTGGCCAAGAACGTGGCCATGTTCCCGGGCAACCAGGAGCGCTTCTCGGAGGGCCACATCGATGTCTGGTGGATCGTGCACGATGGAGGGATGCTCATGCTGCTGCCCTTCCTCCTGCGGCACCACAAGGTACTGTGCCCCCATGGCGGGCAGGGGCTGGGGCTGGGGCAGCCTTCACCACACGGTGCCCACAGCTCCCTCCTTTCCCCCCTCACAGGTCTGGCGCAAGTGCAAGATGCGTATCTTCACGGTGGCTCAGATGGATGACAACAGCATCCAGATGAAGAAGGACCTGACGACATTCCTGTACCACCTGCGCATCACGGCGGAGGTGGAGGTGGTGGAGATGGTGAGCGCTGGGCTGGGGCCGTTCCCCGGAGTTCTGCATGCAGGGGATCCAGACGTGGAGGCACAGCACCGTGGGGATGTGCGGGGCCAGGATGGGCTGTGCTGCAGGCTGGGCCCCGCAGCTCATCCCGCTCCTCTGTCCCACAGCAAGAGAGCGACATCTCAGCCTACACCTACGAGAAGACGCTGGTGATGGAGCAGCGCTCGCAGATCCTCAAGCAAATGCACCTCACCAAGAACGAGCGGGAGCGGGAGGTGAGGAACAGCCCCACAGCCGGCCTTGCTGCGTGCCCCCATGCTGCCCCGCTGTGCGCTGACCCCACCCCACACAGATCCAGAGCATCACGGATGAGTCCCGCGGCTCCATCCGGCGCAAGAACCCAGCCAACACGCGCCTGCGCCTGAACGTCCCCGAGGAGCAGGTGGGCGACGGCGAGGAGAAGCCCGAGGAAGAGGTGAGGTACCGCGTGTTGTGTCCTGCCGGGGACGGCGGGGATGGGGACACCGGCTGCTACGGCCCCTGCCCACCGCGCCTCTGCTCTGCCACAGGTCCAGCTCATCCACGACAAAAACGCCACCACCTTCTCCAGCAGCTCCCAGTCCCCAGCTGAAGAGGCAGAGTCGGGCCCTGAGAAGGTGCATCTCACCTGGACCAAGGAGAAGTCCGTGGCCGAGAAGAACAAGAGCAAGAGCCCTGTCAGCCCCGAGGGCATCAAGGACTTCTTCAACATGAAGCCGTACGGCCCCACATGCTGCTGCTGTGTCACCGTGCCCCGGGCGCTGGCCCACGTGTCCCTCCTTGCTCTGAGCAGGGGCCTGCAGCCGGGTCCCTGCACACCCACCTGACAGCGGGGAGGGTGGGAGGTGGGGGGGTCCCTGTGCAGAGTGGCGGTTGGGTGCTGGGGCACACTGGGTGCACGCCTGGCACTCACCTCTTCTCTCTCTCTTTTTTCCCCACCCCGTTGTGATCCTGGCAGGGAGTGGGAGAACCTGTAAGTATATTGCTTTGGGAGCGGGGGGGTTGGGGGGTGGCACTCGTGGGCCCCATGTGCAAAGGCAGTTCCTTGCACCCATTGGTGGTTGCTTGTGGCATTGATGCCGGCGAGGTTTGCTGTGCCACAGCCCAGCTCCAGCCCTGCCCTTTGCTCCCTGTGGTCCCATGTGCATCCCTGTGCCCAGCCCCCACCCACGTGTGCTGTCTCCCCAGGAACCAGTCAAACGTGCGGAGGATGCACACGGCTGTGAAGCTTAACGAGGTGATTGTGAAGAAGTCCCAGAAGGCCAAGCTGGTCCTGCTCAACATGCCAGGGCCACCCCGCAACCGGAAAGGGGATGAAAACTGTATCCTTCCTACTGCTCTGGGGGTGGGCTGAGAGTCCCTCCTCAGGGTCTGCGGGGCCGGGGACTTCCTTGCAGGCATCACAGGGCACTGCCCAGTGTTCAGCCTGGATACCCCCTGCTGTGGGTTCTGCGGGCTCCCTGTTTCCACCCCTCGTTCCTCCTTGACGGCAGCACAGACATGGAGTTCCTGGAGGTGCTGACAGAGCGCCTGGACCGAGTGCTGCTGGTGCGTGGCGGGGGCCGGGAGGTCATCACCATCTACTCCTGAAACACGGCGTGAGAAAGGTTTGTCCGCACCCCGAGAGCCCCACCACCCCGCACCGAGCTCCTGGAGGGAGGAGAGAAGCCCGATGGCAGCCGGTGCACAGAACCTTCACCTGCCTTCAGCCCGTGCCCCTGACCTCTCCATTCGAACTGCAGCACCAGATCTTCCGGGAGCATCCAGCACCTGAGCAGCTGTTCCTCATTGCAACGTCACAGCACTGCTGTCTTTGTTTATATATAAATATATACAGTGTTCTGCGGACTGAGCATCAGAGCCCAGCGCTGCCCCCGCAGCCCCCGGCCGGGCAGGAGCCCACTGCGTCCCGATGGGCCCCAGGCCCCACTGCCGTCCCACACAGCTTGGCTGGGCACCGCTGCCTGATGCTCGCACCGCACAGAGGTGCTGGGAGAAGAGAGAGGCCACCAGCATGCTTTCCTCGCCAGATGCTCCTCTCCCCACCTCCGTCAGCACCCGACGACCCTGGAAAGGACCGTGCTGGGCCTGGACAGACCCAACCGCCCATCTGGAGGCCGTGGGCCACGCTCACCGAGAGGCAGTTGTGATGGTTTGGAGGGGGTGAGGGTGGGGGGCAGCCGAGTGGGGCGGGATGCTGGAGAGCAGCGGTGCCACTGCAGCCCTGGCCGGGTTGGGTGGAGCTGTGTGTCCCCTTCCCGCTGGCCCCAACCCCCTCTGTCCAGGCATTGCTCTGTGCTCGTGCTGCAGCTGCTGTGCGGAGCTGTGGTGCCCGGAGCAGAGCAGAGGTCCCACCGGTGTGCAGAGTCAGCCTGAGCTGCCCCGGGGCTGTGGGACTGTGGATGCTGCTAACCCCAGGCATCGCCGGCTCTGGGCCTGGCACAGAAGCTCCACGGCCATGCTGGGAGCATTGGGGGCTGTGTGGACCCCTCTTTGGCTGACCGTCGGTCCCGACAGCCCCATACCCTGCTGTGCACTGGGGCTTTTATCCCTGGCCCCGGGCACAGGTGCTGCCATGGGGTCCGGAACGCTCAGCTCTGGGTGGTTCTCAGTATATGCAATGTGTCCGATCGGCCCCGGCCCCACTGCAGCGCCTGTGCCAGGCCCTGTGGTGCGGGATGGCAGCGGGGACCCCTCTGTCCTATTTCTGGGCAGCACCCGGCCCCGTTCCGGTCCCCCCATCCCACCATGGCCCCAGAGCTGCCCCCCAAACAGCCCTGAGCCCGGCAGCGGTCGCAGGGCCGCCCCCCTCTCCCCAGCAGCAATTCTCATTCAGAGAAACTGAGGAGCTCTCAACAAATGTGAACGGTTCCAGGAACCGTGCAGGAAGCGGCGCCGAGGGCCCATGTACATAGTGTACATAATACAGTACGTGTATTTTTAAAGTGATCATATTTATGTTAATAGAACCAGATGAAGTCTATATATAGAGATCTATATCTATACTGAGAGATGCAGGGCTCTGCTAGCACCGGGCTGTGGGGACGGAGGTGTGATGGCCGCCCCTGCACAGGGTCCGGGGAAGGGCCAGGTCAGGGGCTCGTGCTCTTCTCAATTCAGCTTCTTAAAAGTTTTCAGGGAAAAGAAATTACTGGACTTTTCTGAACTCGTTTCACAGCAGATTTGAGCTTCCACTCCAAGTGCAGCCCGCTAAGAGTTGCCCTCTCCTGGCAGTGCTGTGGCTGCTCTGTGCCCCGTGCACAGTGCTGCTCCCCTGCCCTCGCACAGAACAGCTCCTTGCCCTCTTCCTCTGCAGAGCTCCTCTACTCCTCCAGTTCCAGGCCAAAGCTATATGAGGCTGCTTAGATAGCAAACAAGTGGTTTGTGGGCTTTTTTTGGCTTTTCTTGGCTTGCTTTCTTTTTGTTGGTTCTTTTTTTTTTTGGCTTTAAGACTCCTTGGACACACTCCCGGACCAAACCCAAGCCCCAGCTGCACCTCTGTGCCTGTCAGTACCCTGCTCCTACATCTGCACCACTCCCAAAGTGCCTCCATCTCTCCAGCAGCAGCCCCGGCCGCAGGCAGCACTCAGCCACGGCAGCTCAGCAATCTGCACAGGTGCATCGGGGCTGTCACAGACCGCTGCGATGAATGGATAGATGACAGATAGCAGCTTGAGCCAGAAGAGCAGCCCCATGTGCCCAGCGGTAGGGGATGGGGAGGCCGGGTTTAGCTTAAGGTTCAGCTCTGCCCCTACACACCGCCACACACAGCTTCTGTGCTGTTTGCAGCCTCCCAGGATGATGTGAAGCACTTGGGCAAGGAGGGGCTGTGCACACCCACCTGCCCGCTCATCTCACTGCACCGTGCTTGCTCGGCCTGCAACGCTTCCAGCTGCTCCCTGCCTTTGCACAAGGTGCTTTGCTCCATGCAGTCTCCCTCTGCCCTCAGCCCAGCTTTGCCCTGCAGCCTCAGCCCGCTCCTACATGGAGCAGAGAGCCTGACCTCAGCAGCAGCACCAGGGCATGGCAGATGCCTTCCTCGGGCAGCAGGGATAGATCTCTGCAGCACAGGCATGAAGCCAGGCCGGGGCACGCTGCTCTGCGGGCAGGTCAGCTCCATCGCTTCCCAGCAGCACCAACCAGCACCGCATTCACAGCCCCGACTCCTTCAGGGAGCAGAAAGGCAAAAAAGCATCCCGCCATCCTCGCCCTGCAGCAGGAGCAGGGCACAGCTGCAGGCACAGCCGCCTCCGTACCCCTGCCAGGCAGCACCCGGCTGCAGCAGGACAGGCGCTGGCTTCCCAGCGAGATCGCGCTCACCTTCGGTCTGGAGAGGGCCAGTTGTAGCAGACAGCACTGCATGTTAGTTTACAAACCCAGCCCTGCACGTTTGGCCTCTGTGAGTGTTCAGTTTCCCCAAGGAGCATCCTTCCGCTGTTCGCTGTGGTGAAGGCGGCGTCCTCCTGCAGCAGGAACGCGAGCTCCCGGCTGCCCCACGTGCAGCAGCTTCAGCTCTTGGGGTCCCACATCCCCAACCTGCTGCCAGGGCCGGGGGGCGCAGCGAGGCGAGGAGGGGTCAGGCCCCTGCCAGGGCTGCAGGATGGGAAAGGCACAGACAAGGCAGGTCTGACAGTTGCTGGTTACACCACTTTCCGTGCTACATGTGCAATATATTTGTTATGAATGTTATCACCGGGTCATTCATCCGAGAATCTTTTAATCACCGTAGCTAGATGTTCTGCGTCCATCCAAGTGACTTTTATTCAAGTGCAATACTTCAATAGACATGTAGTGACCGAGTATGCTTTGTTTTAGAAATATCTGTGTGCAGAGCAATGCAATTCAGTTTAAAACCTTGTAAATAAAACAGGTTGCAAACAAACAAACAAACAAAAAAATCAAACAAAAAGAAAAAAAAAAAAAAAGAATATTAGGTTTGCATTTAATTTCTGTGACCGTTTCAGTATTATTGTGCATTAGGCCGCCTCAGTACAGACCCTGTGTTCTCCGTGCAGATATTAATGGAGGAGAGGCTCCTCAGCTGTTGAATGCTCCCTGTTAACGCTTTACTGCTTTACCTGTATTCATTTTTCTAGACTCCTGTCTGCACAAAATGCAATAAATGATTTTATTACACCCTTCACTACTTGCCTGGGAAGCTCTCATTAGCTCGCAGGGCGTCACCGTGCCCTCGGCCTCCCGGTTCACTAATGCAGCTCTCGCTGCTGCCTGCCGACTCAGCGCTGCCCCACGCGGGCGCAGCACAGCGCAGCACGGCGCTCCTGCTGCTGCCCACCCGGCTGGCGGCTCCCAGGCGTTCATCCGGCAGATCTCGCTGCAAAAACTCTCCACCCTTGAGGTCAACAGCAGCTCCTCCCGATCGGCGATTCAGCATCACTTCGTATGCGCGGTGCCGGTGCATCCACGAAGATGCTGGAGCGCTGGCCCTAACACACAGCTCGGTGGTGCCCCAGCAAGGGCTGCCAGCCTGACGTGACCCTGAGAGCTCAGCGTGGCAGCCGACTGCTCACCCTTGTGATGTCCTGCATAAAAGCAGACGAGTGCTTTTCATCCAAAGCATATCAACGGCTCTGCTAAAATATACCTATCACCTACAGGGATTTTGTCCCAACTGAAGCTCGTTGAAACTTGTGAGCATGCCAACAAACTGTTCTAACTCAGAGTTCTGAGTCCACTGAATGACAGTAAGCACCTGAGAAGTACTTTAAAACCAAAGCATGATGAACTGACACAGCATGGCATCATCCTGGGGCATGTTACAGTGTTCTGCACGAGGGAAAGAAACACTGGGAGCAAAGCAAAGCAAAGCAAAGCAAAGAGGGATTCTGAAGTGAAGGGCACAGTATGGTTTGCATCCAGCACTGGGCAATGCCTGAAGCACTTACCTGGAAGAGAGCAGCAGCAAACGCAGCAGAATAAGCAAAGCAGTGGAATTACACATTCCAGCAGTACTCAAACCGTGAAGCATAAAAAATGCAACAAAAATGTTTTTCCTGCCTTTTTATTAAAAAGTAACGTCCTTTCGTTAACAGCACAGAGAGAAAAATGCTACAACACAAACCACCTCGGACAAGGAAATCCTCTGCTCCAAGAACATTGCTCTCCTAGCATCTTTTGGTTCTGCAGGAAGCCTACAGACTCCAAGAAGGCTGTGCAAAGAAGGACCGCATGGTTAGAGAAGTTTTGTTTTCTGGTATCAAAGTATGTTGCTGGTTAAAAACACGGTGAAGTATCACTGCCTGATCCACTCAACTGCCCGCTGCAGCTACCAAAGTGGTGAAAGAACATATAAAATCATAGTATTGCATGTTGGCACTGCCTCCCCCCCTGAGATGGGCAAAACACCAACCGAGATGAAGTGTCAGAGAGCAGACATCGACCACCTGGGAAGTGGCTGCAGACAGGTCCAGCAGCACATCAGCGTGGCTGCGGCCGAGCTGCTGGGCAACGTAACCAGCTGCCCCAAAGCAAGATTAGAAGGAAATTTATACATAGAATTTAATAGACTGATCTTAAAATTGATTACTTGGGTGCAGGATTGATTTTGTTTTGTTTTATCAATAGACCATTTAAAATCTCTGCCCCGGCTGGAAGATCTCCCCATTTCAGATCCCCCATTGCAGTCAGAACAAAACTGTCAGCTCCCATACGCCAGGCAAGGTGAGGTGCTTCTGCCAGCCTCTCTGTGCCATGACAGCACAGCACAGCCCAGCTGCAGGACTGCACAGCACTGCCTGGCTTATAGAACAGCAGGCAGCCACACGCCACGTGAGGTCAGCTGCCAGAGCTACCTCTGCATTTCCTCTTACATGGCACTGCAAGAGAAAGAAATAAAAGAAAAAAAGCATAGAAACAGTGACCATTCCAAAAACCTGCAACCCCAGGAAGGCCCAGGCAGGTACTGCTCTTCTCAGCCTCGTGTCATTTTCCCAAAAATGGGCCCAAATCTATACTAAGACCAGAAAGCACCACAGTGTGAAGGTGCACCCATTCACGGGAGTGAGGAAAATGCAGGGCTGCCATCGCAGCAACTCCCGGGCTTGGACAGAACAAGTGAATACCCAAAGTGGCTCTCTGCAAATCCTGCCACTGAGAAAACAGAAGAGACTTCTCCAAACACTGCTATCCAGACCAAGGTGAGGAAGGGCAGCACTATAACACTCAGCAGCAATGCCACTGGGAGTACACTCTCAACGAAGTGGAGAGGACATGCATATCCAGGGGCATTTGTCCCACGTCAGGGACAGGAGACTCTTTAAACAGCTAGAAATATGGAATGACAAAGGGTAGGGAAAAGGGTTTGACAGCTCAGCTTTAATAGTGTCGCTGGTAGGAACCCATGGGCTGCTGGGTGGAGGACCCCGCTCGGCCCTGGGCCACTGTTTGACTGACTAGGTGGGAGAGTGCAGGACCGCTCTGGATCAGGGTGTCCAAGGCTTTCTGTACACTAGGGTTGTCAAAGTTGATACCAGACGAAACTGGCCTTTGGGCAGGAACGGCGCCAGGCGCGGGGAGACGATTCTGGTGCTGACCGTAAAGAGACTGAGCTGGTGGAGGAGCTCCAGGTCTTGGACCTGCATTTCTGGAAGGGCCTTGGAGAGAAGGAAGCTGAGTGTTTGGAGTTTGCAACCTCTGCTGGGCCGGGTTTAAATTTCCAGCACTCATCTGTGCCGATCGGGCCTGATTGCTGGTCATGTTAGTGAAGTTCTGGCTGGGAGTGCCACCCGACGTGCCCACAGTGGGTGCAGAACTGCTGTTTGCCACAGCTGCTGCTGCCGCCCCACTGTTGAAGAGACTGAGGATTTTTGCCTGGAGCTCCTGCTGAGGATTAGCAGAGGATGCTGGAACAGAAGGAGCAGAAACCAGAGGCTGTGAACCCTGATGAGTCTGAGAGCTTGGAAGGCTGGACTGACTGCCCAGGGATGGCGCTGAAGGTGCTCCCAGAGACGGCCTTGACATGGGTGCTGGGGAAGAAAAGGAAGGGAGTTAAAGCTCTGCAGAGGTCCTTGAAGAGACACCTAAAGGAAACTGGTGAGATAGCTACTAAGGACACAGACCTCAGGAAATAGCCACCCTCTAATCAGAAATGCTGCACTGCTCTGGGGAACCCAAACCACTCGACAGAACTGTTGCCCTTTGTGGAGCTGCCAAGCCAGTTAGGGAGCATTGTGGTTTCCCTGAGAGAATCCCATGTAAAGCTTCTGTCACGTGAAGACCAGAATAGTCTCAGGACTCCTGGACACACATCCATCTCCATAAAGAAGGCACTCTGTAAGGATGTTACAACACTAGGACTCCCCTACAACCCCAGTATTGACATTCTGTCCCACAGAACCATACGACTGCTAGTGCCGTTCAGGGCTGAGATACTCACCCTGCAGAGAATCAGTGCTCCCCCTCAGTAACCTTTCCTTCCGGTCCCTCAAGTAATTAATTACTTTATCAGTCTCCTCAGCAGTTAGATACCGATTGTCTGCCAGAAGGTTCAATAGAGTCTGAATGCCCGGAGGGTGGGGGTGGCCCCCCCTGGCCCCCTCCTCCATGGGGGGCGGCCGCTCTCTCTCCTGCAGAACGGCCTCATCTGCCATCTTGGCAGCCTGCCGGGCGATCTCCTCACGCTCCTTCTCCCGTGACTCTGTTTTGTAGCGCTCGTAATTCCTGGCCACCAGCACCATGGCATCAGCCTGGGGCATGTTACGGTGTTCTGCACGAGGGAAAGAAGCACTGTGAGCAAACCAAAGCGGCGTTAGCTGGAGGCGCCTTCCCTCACTCACACCAGCACGTCTCGTTCAGCAGGCAGCACCTCCAGGGATTCTAAGCACAGACGTGGGAAGCTCCCTTGGCACACGGCAAGAGTTCCATTTCCTGAGCCAACAGGAGTCTCACAGCTATCATCCAGCAAGGCCAACCCTTCCTTTTTCAGCCGTGAGCTCCTAGAAGGTTTCACACCAGCCCAGAAGGGCCGCTTGTGCCTCTCATTCAAATAAAAAGAGAAACAGCTCCCTCTACCTTTCACACAAATTCTCTGTGCTCTGAGAAGAGAGAGCTCCAGCTGTTCAATCGGATGAGCCCATGGACAGGCTCCAGAATTGCACTCTCAAGGCACATCTCATCTCTGGTTCCCAGAGCAGCACAGTCACGGGGATATGCTAAAGATCAAGTGAAGAATATTTAATGCCTACAAAAGATCTGTGCACGAATCAGTTGCCAGAGTTCTTACCAGATCTGACACGCTCCTTGCTGCAGTGAAGGAGAAACCTTGGCAGGGGAACAGATGTCGAACTAAAGCAGTTAAGAACTAAACCAAAAGGCAGTAGAAAGCCCACTGAAAGTGTGCTTGAGCTGCATGCCTACTGGAATTGAGGGAAACACCCCGCCACAACCGCATCAGGTGCTAAAAGAAACCAGCTTCCTCAGTCAATAAGCACACAAAAAGCATGCACTGAGGTGTTCACTACCACAGACGAACCTGACAAAGCATTATCTGATAATACAAGAGAGAAGTAACTTTTGAAAGCTTAGCTGCAGCCAAAAATCTACTTCAGTGAACAATGCCTAAACAGGCTTATGATCACAGCCATAAGACTGGCTTGCCTGCACAACCCTCTGACAGGATTCTCTCCTGGTAGAAATTACACAGTCCTTCTGACAATCAGGTATTGCAGAATTTTGCAAATCATGAGGTTCACATTTATGACATGCCATTAACTCATACATTAGACCTGTAAGACACAGCACAGAAGAACAACTGCTGGAGAAAACCTATTCTAGAGCAGTGCTTCGTGCTGTTTGGTGCGACTGCAAACCTACGCAATCCGCTAAGCCCTCAGTACCTTGTGGGGTGCCAAACATGATGTTAACAGTGCAAGAACGGTGAACTTGATGCTGCTGAGTGATGACAATAGCAAAAGGAGATCCTCCTCTGCTCACATCGTCCAGGGCTTGAGTCAGTGACATCTCTGTGTTGAGGAAGATCAGGTCCACCACCATGCCCAGATCCCGCACCTTCCGCCCCACCGACTCCGCGTACTCCCTGCCACAAAGCAAAGCCAGCAGTTTCACAAGTCAGAAATGTACAGAAACAAACCCTTCACATTCGTGTGCTGCATCTCAGATTTGTTT